AGGTTTCAGTCTTTGTCTGTTTCAACTTTGTTTTTCGGTTATGAAAAGAGAGTTACTTTAATGTTAAATTTTAGGCCCAAAACAAAAAAATACTGAGATCTCAGGAAAAAGGAAGTGCAAATAAAATTAAAAGTCCTTTCAGTTAAATCCTTGTGCTTCCTACCACCCTTTGGAACAACACATTATCTGCAGATCAGCATCCAGATGAGACGACAGCACCCTCAAGCAGCAAAGACCCGGACGGTGGTTGAATCGTCCCTCAAACAAAAACCACCCTGGAGATCCACATTAAAGGTGAGAACACCTTTTGAGTTTCTGCCGGTGAACTTCTCCTACACTGTAACTGGCGAAGCTGTCAGCTTCACTAAAAACTTTTTAACTCTTGAAACAGCTCATGAACGTATCTTATTCATCTTCATGTCTAACATCTTCCTTTTTATGTGTCTATTTTACTTCACAGTCTGTAGAAATCACGGAGAAAAAACGTAATTCTGCCGATGCTTCAGGTTGTACCACTGGCCTGCAGGTGGTGCATTCAAGGAACTTGCATAAATCTATGATGTGTTTAAGGAACATCTGTAAATATGAAACTACAGAAATAACCTGGGTTACAAAAGCATTAGGCAGGAACAGCACACATTCCTGCCCTCCCCGTTCATACAAGGAAAGCTTAAGGCAGGGAGAGAAGCAGCACACCCAAACAGAGCAGGCATCAATGACAACAGCATGACATTGATTAAGTCAGAACAGAATAAAAGGAGGAGCTGGGGTGGAGGAGGTTTGTAAATGTAGCTTGCAGAGGGAGCAGCAAAGAGTAGGCAGTCTAGAGCAGTTATAATAAGGCAGCATAAGTACTATTTGGCCAATAGGATGCTTTGAAGCAAATCAGCTGATGAAGTTTGCTTGAGATCAGCTGTTACCAAAATCTCTGGCATAATAGAAGAGCGTGACTCTGTGGCCTGCCTGAACTAATGCTACGCTACATTTTTGTGATATCTCCAATACAGAAAACCACAACAATTAGCTAGGTGGCTTTAGCATTATTTCATATTTCTTTGTACTTTGATACACATAACCACACCCAAATACATATTTAACTCTGAGAAACATGTATTAGCTAGTTCTAATTGACTTCACAGAAAGATTAGCTTGCTACCGGGCTAGTTACATTAGCTACCTAACTTTCAAGCATTATCTACTTTGTGATTCATTTTGAGTAGTTATTTGATGGCACTTTGATAATATGCAGATTATCTTAATATAACATTGAGTAAGGTCTCGACCTGCTCTTTTGTAAAGTGTCTTGAGATGACACTTGTTATGATTTGGTGCTATACAAAATGTGTAGTTAGTAGCTGAGTATTTAATTCCCTCAGTGTCTCATCAGCAGCTGTAACCACAGAGACTCTGAGCAAACAGGAATCATCAGAATCCATCTGACATGAAGCTGTGGTTTGAATCCCACTTCCCTCCTCTTTGAAGAGTAGTCAGATATCTGTGTTCAGGTTTTTGTACAGCCTCTTCTACACTTTGTATCACTGTGTTTCTAAAGCACAGTAGTAGAGAGCTGTGTCTTCAGGGGTTAGCTTTCTAATGGTCAGTTCAGTTGAGCTGCGTGATGTTTGAGATTCATATCGTTCATCTGGAATATATTCTTCATCACTACTTGATCTGGCTCCTTTCCAGAGTATAAACTGAGGTGCCTGGAGGTCAGAATGATGTCTGTACCAGAAGAGGTAAACATTCTGGTATGTTGCCTCATAGTTACATCTGAGTGTGACAGATTCTCCTTCTGTTCCTCTGACTTCATCGACTGCAGGATAGATTTTGTCCCCAGCTGTTAGTCCTGTAAAACGTAGAGGAAATGAAGCCATTAGATTAAATATTGTTCAAGAGACTGAGAAGATGAGACAGTGGAAAATATCAGTTGTTCGGTCTTACTGCAAGAACAAAATAATTCAAATGTTCATAGATTTCTGCTCAGAACTTAAAAACACTGAAGACATGTTGTGCTTTATATCTTACCAAAGAAAAGAGCAGCCAGAATAATCCAAAGCCAAATTTCCATTTCTAAAACCAGGTTTAAACCAACAGGAGGAACTCTCTGATATTCAATGTTCACTGTGTTGAAGTGTTCTCTTTACAGCAGCAGCTGGTATTAATATAATGTTTGAACACAGTAGTTCATTACCTGGTCAATAATGTCTCCCCCTGGAGGAATTGTAAAAATGTAGTGCAGAAATTCTAGAAGTGACATCCTGGAACGCGTCTCTGAACTGCATACTGGAACACATTTAAAATGTTCTGAACCTGATGCACATGTTAATGAATTTATATATAATCCATTCTTACTATTATTACACAAATGAAAATAGATCAAATCATTTTTAAAATATCAAAGTCAACACATAAAGAAGAAATGAGGACACAGGGTTGAACCATGTGGTACACAGTAATCAATCATGTGTTTCTAGATGTTTACAGGGATAATTTATTCAGAAATTTGATACCAAACTATCGATGAATTGCCCTAAAGAATTAATATGAAAAAGCAACATATCAGACGTACTGTTCAGATATTGTATATTTATGTCAAGTATTGTTTGGATATTCTGAAATACTTTAATCCTGGGGCCTGTTTCAGTAAGCAGGTTTTTAACAAACACTGAGTCAGTTAACCATGACATGAGGGAAACTGGGTTTTCCTCATTCTTTCATTCAGTCCGTATCACGTGAATATTAGTGAAGATTCACCCGAGATGAAACAGGTGGACAACGACGTAGCAATGTATATGCTTTTAAACCAGAGGCTGCCGGTTACATACACAAACAGTGACTAACTAACCATGACTGTGCTACATGACTGCTCTATATAAATGTGACACCCATAGATGGCGGTGTTGCTTCACTTAAAGCTGTGCTCTTTTTTTTTTTTTTTTTTTTTTTTTAACAAAGAAACAAAATAATGCAAATGTTGCTATAATGAACCTGCTCTTCAAACAAGCTTCAAAACTTTCCTGATAACAGAAAAATTTTAAATCTGAAATTAAAACAGAATAGATCAAATCTGTCTGAAAACAGAAAAATCAAGTTTTCTCTTTTTTTTCTTTTTTTTTTTTTTTAACTGTTCAGGCCTAGAACTAAACCCTGTTGTACACCACGAGGAATAACAGCCAAAGAAGAACGTCCTCATCAAAGACATAAATTGACATTGAATTTTGTCGTGCCAACTGTTTATGGTGGTACTTTATTGTAATGATTTGATCCAGATTAAATATGATGACAAACCATCACATCATATTAACTTTTTGTATTTTAAGAGCTTCATTTAAATCTATAGTTTGCAAACCAAATTCATGTTACATTCAAACAGTTCTGGATATGTGGAGAGCACCTGTCAGAGATCTTCTTTATCATCACTACAAAACAGTCAAGCCTACATCTCCATACCTACAGTTGAAGTTTAGCAGTCCGTGACTCCCTCTAGTGGATGTTGTGGAGTATTGTGTTGTCTTCTCTCCAGAGGTTTTTGTACAGAGTTGTGGTGTTTCCTGTCACTGTGGGCCTCACAGCACAGTAGTACACAGCAGAGTCAGTCAGCTGAAGCTTCTGGATCTTCAGAGGAACTGATCTTAAAGTAGAATCCAGTGTGGATGAAAATCTCTCCTCAAACTCTTTCATTGTTTTCCCTTCTCCAATCTTAAAGCGGCTCAGTATGAATTTGAGGCTTTTGTTTCCATCCTGTTTGTACCAGTAGAGATAATCATTTGATGAACTGCTGTTGTATTGACAGCCAAGAGTTACTGCCTCTCCTTCAGTAGCAGTCACATCTCCTTCTGGTTGCAGCACGTTGTCTTTTTGTGCCATACATTCTGTAAAGCAGTAACAAATAGTATTAGTGTGCTGTTAAAGAATCATGTCAGTGTTGGATTGATATCAAAGAAACTGAGTTCATACCAAGATACACAGTAGCCAGCAACACTGAGATAACCAGAGGCATCATATCTGCAGTGTTAATAACTCTGAGTTACAGAGAGTATAAAGAAGGCTGTGATCTCTGTGTTTAGTCCACATCAACACTAAGTTAGAGGATTAGAAGGAGGAGCCTGATCACAGAGACAGGTCTCAATCACAGCCCTGTGTTATTCCCCGACTGACAACTTTACACTGAACATCTTTTACTGACACTCTGCTCGCTTTTAATGATCTGTCTTGTAAGTTACCCTCCTGACCGAATCCAGTTTATAGTAAGTGACTCCCTCTGGTGGATGTTGGGGAGTGTTGTGTTGTCTTCTCTCCAGAGGTTTTTGTACAGAGTTGTGGTGTTTCCTGTCACTGTGGGCTTCAGAGCACAGTAGTACACAGCAGAGTCAGTCAGTGCAGCAGAGGAGATCTCCAGATGAAACTCCTTAGATTGTTTGTCATGTCTTGTGGACAACTTCTCTGTTTTTTCTGAATATCCACCTATGAGATGTTGTGGAGATGAACCTGATTTCTGCTGATACCAGTAGAGGTTGGTGACAGAGCCTGAATAATTGCAGGAGAAAGTCACATCGTCTCCATCAACAGCCATCATTACCTCTCTGAATGGTGTCACTAATTCCTCAGAGGATCCTAAAGAGAAATACATATATTTCACTGTGACTGTAGTTGTCTATCTGGACACACATGTTTCATGTCTTAGATCTTCATAAGTCTTTTCAGTACTTACCAGTATGAAAGAATACTATCATCATCCAAACCAAAGGAAGCTGCATTGTTGTTCCTGTGATAAATGAACAGTAGAGAGAACACAGCAGCTCTTCTGTTCCAAAGTGACACTGTTCATATTCATTTGTGTAGCTCCTCCTCTTAACACTTGCATCTCAAATGTAGTAACATAGAGGCATTTATGACTGGATTAAGATAAGATCTGTTCATCAATAACAACAACAAAAGAAACTAGACTAATTTATTTTAAATCAAATTCAACTTGCAAATAAAAAGGCCGGGCCTAGAACTCAACCCTGTGGTACACCACGAGAAATCACAGCCGAAGAAGAACGTGTTTATCAAAGACAGAACAAAAGAAACTGACTTCTAATTTTGTGAAGCCAACTGTTTGTGGTGGTACTTTATTCTAATGATTTGATCCAGATTAAATATGACGACAAACCATCACATCATATTAACTTTTTGTATATTAAGAGCTTCATTTAAATCTATAGTTTCCAAACTAAATTCATGTTATATTCAAACAGTTCTGTATATGTGGAGAGCACCTGTCAGAGAGGCTCTTTATCATCACTACAAAACAGTCAAGCCTACATCTCCATACCTACAGTTGATGTTTCACAGTCTGTGACTCCCTCTAGTGGATGTTGTGGAGTATTGTGTTGTCTTCTCTCCAGAGGTTTTTGTACAGAGTTGTGGTGTTTCCTGTCACTGTGGGCTTCACAGCACAGTAGTACACAGCAGAGTCAGTCAGTGCAGCAGAGGAGATCTGTAGATCCAGATGTTTTTTATCCTCTCTCACTGTAACAGACAGTCCAGAGACGGAATTGGAAAGTGGTCCTGTTGATGTTTGAGAGGCGATAAATTGTGGTTGTTTTCCTGGATGTTGTCGATACCAGAAGAAATAATCACCAGTTGACAGTTCAGGGTAACTGTAGGACAGAGTAACAGTGCTGCCTTCTGAACTGGACTCTTCATTCTTAACTGGAGTGAGCTCTTCATAGCTGGATTCTAGAAAAGAAGATATGATACAGAATCGTATGTTATTGAAATTCAACTCTTCATGCAACACAATCCATCACACCTCAAAAATCTATTGTTTTAATTCAACTTCTTTTAAAATGTAGATACATATTATGTCCCTAAGCATCACACATTTTCCTTTACATACATACTTATGAGAGCTGAGAAGAACAAAATAACAGTAAGTTGTTCCATGTTTGTAGAGGTGAGATGCTGTAACTGAATGTTCAGTATGATTCAGTTTTGTGAGTAGAGTTTGGTCTGATGTTCACAGCTGGAATCAAACAGTTCTCTGTCATCAAACACCTCTGCAGTCATTGGGAGGAGACTCATCTGTTGAACTAGTTTCATTTCTGAATTGAGAAACATCAAGCCTTCATCATGACATACCATAGAAGTTTATCAGTGTGTGACTCCCTCTAGTGGATGTTGTGGAGTATTGTGTTGTCTTCTCTCCAGAGGTTTTTGTACAGAGTTGTGGTGTTTCCTGTCACTGTGGGCCTCACAGCACAGTAGTACACAGCAGAGTCAGTCAGTGCAGCAGAGGAGATCTGTAGATCCAGATGTTTTTCATCCTCTCTCACTGTAACAGACAGTCCAGAGACTGGATCTGATATAAGTCGTCCTGTTGATGAGTGAGAGATGATGAACTGTGGTTGTTTTCCTGGATATTGTTGATACCAGAAGAAAGAATCACCAGTTGACAGTTCAGGGTAACTGTATGACAGAATAACTGTGCTGCCTTCTAAACTGGACTCTTCATTCTGAACTGGAGTGAGTCCTTCACAGCTGACACCTAAAAAATAAAACAACAGTTATTTTATTTTCAAAAAGGTTATTTATAAATCACAATCATATTTGATTGAATCTAGTCTGTATTTCTGCATTCCATCTACAATACCTGTTAGACATAGTTGAGAGCATGTACACGTTAAAGTGGAAGGATTGTTGTAATAAGTGAAATATGTCACTCTGGCCATGTCTCACATACCTGTGACAGCTGATAACAAAAATATAGCGGTGAGTTTGTCCATGTTTGCAGAGCTGAGAAGCTATAACTGAGAGATCAGGAGGAATCAGTTTAGTGAGTTTTGTTTGGTCTGATGTTCACAGCAGTAATCAAACAGTTCTGTTATAAAACATCTGCTCAGTCAGGAGGAGGAGACTCATCTGTTGGTTACATTTCTGAAGCTCTTCATAACAACTGTCTCATGAGAGAGGAGAATCTAGACTGTGTGATCACATTCTAAAACATTTCAACAGCGTGGGACTCCCTCTAGTGGATGTTGTGGAGTATTGTGTTGTCTTCTCTCCAGAGGTTTTTGTACAGAGTTGTGGTGTTTCCTGTCACTGTGGGCTTCAGAGCACAGTAGTACACAGCAGAGTCAGTCAGTGCAGCAGAGGAGATCTCCAGATGAAACTCATTAGATTGTTTGTCGTGTCTTGTCGACAATTTCTCTGTTTTTTCTGAATATTCTCCTATGAGAAGTTGTGGAGATGAACCTGATTTCTGCTGATACCAGTAGAGGTAGGTGACAGAGCCTGAATAGTTGCAGGAGAGAGTCACATTTTCTCCATCAACAGCCATCATTATCTCTCTGAATGGTGTCACTAATTCCTCAGAGGATCCTAAAGAGAAAGACATATATTTCACTGTGACTGTAGTTGTATATCTGGACACACATGTTTCATGTCTTAGATCTTATTATGTCTTCTTAGTACTTACCAGTATGAAAGAATACTATCATCATCCAAACCAAAGGAAGCTGCATTGTTGTTCCTGTGATAAATGAACAGTAGAGAGAACACAGCAGCTCTTCTGTTCCAAAGTGACACTGTTCATATTCATTTGTGTAGCTCCTCCTCTTAACACTTACATCTCAAATGTAGTAACATAGAGGCATTCATGACTGGATTAAGATAAGATCTGTTCATCAATAACAACAAAAAAGAAACTAGACTAATTTATTTTAAATCAAATTCAACTTGCAAATAAAGAGGCCTGGCCTAGAACTAAACCCTGTTGTACACCACAAGGAATAACAGCCAAAGAAGAACGTGTTTATCAAAGACAGAACAAAAGAAACTGACTTCTAATTTTGTGATGCCAACTGTTTGTGGTGGTACTTTATTCTAATGATTTGATCCAGATTAAATATGACGACAAACCATCACATCATATTAACTTTTTGTATATTAAGAGCTTCATTTAAATCTATACTTTCCAAAATAAATTCATGTTATATTCAAACAGTTCTGGATATGTGGAGAGCACCTGTCAGAGATCTTTTTTATCATCACTACAAAACAGTCAAGCCTACATCTCCATACCTACAGTTGATGTTTCACAGTCCGTGACTCCCTCTAGTGGATGTTGTGGAGTATTGTGTTGTCTTCTCTCCAGAGGTTTTTGTACAGAGTTGTGGTGTTTCCTGTCACTGTGGGCCTCACAGCACAGTAGTACACAGCAGAGTCAGTCAGTGCAGCAGAGGAGATCTCCAGATTTACTTGTTTCTCCTTTTTGTTAATGTAAGCTGAGAAATCAGAATCTGTTGGATGAATCGATCCTCCCTCTGTGATGTAGAGCAGGAACTCTGGTCTGGATCTCTGGTTTTGTCTGTACCACTGCATGTTGTAGATTTGACCATCATATGTACAGGTCAGGTTGATGTTTCCTCCCTCTTCAACCTTTTCTTCAGTTGTTTCTGGGTTTATGCTGTTCATGGAGCCCAGGGCTGCAAAATAAGTATTATACATGTCTGTTAGTCTGCAAGAGATTCAGACATCAAGAGACTGAAAATCAGTCCTCTACTTCATCAGTCATCTTTGATCATTTTGAGATTCATGAAGAAAACAAAAGTCTTTTTCTATCAGTGGAATTTGTAGCTCCCACAGATAAACATCTACTTTGAAATAGTTGTTCAGATATCTGGTCTAAACAGCAGGTGAAATTAGAGTTTGATGTGTGTTGTAACACTCACCTATAAAGTGAGAGCAAAGTAAAAAGAGGTAAAGCAGCATGTCTTTGGAGTTGTTGAAGACAAACAGACAGCAGATGAGTAATGTTCTTCTAAACTAAACAGCCTCTGTGCTGCACAGATGTTCTCCTCTACTTTGACATGATTTTAATTTGACTTCCTCAAACTTTTCTGCTCTGGAGATACAGACAATCTCATTGGTTTGCCTCAGTGGGCGGGGCCAGAGGAACACCTTATTTAGAACTTGAACTTGTTTTTAACTGGAGGCCATTGTGAGTTCTCCCACATTTACAGAGGTGAGGTGCTGTAAAGGAAGAACTAGTATGAGTTGGTGCTGAGTTGTTCGGTCTGATGTTCACAGCTTGATTAAAAGAGTTCTCAATCAATCTTTATTTGTATAGCACCAATTCATAACAAATGTTATCTGAAGACACTTTACAAAAGAGCAGGTAAAAGACCTTACTCATTGTTATATTACAAAGACCCAGTTCTCTGTCATAAGGCTCCTCTGCAGTCAGTAGGAGGAGACTCATATCAAATCATTTTCATTCATGAAGAGTTGTATCACAACTGTATCATAAGGGAAAAGAATCTAGACTGTATCAACGCATACAACTAAAGTTCATCAGTGTGACTCCCTCTAGTGGATGTTGTGGAGTATTGTGTTGTCTTCTCTCCAGAGGTTTTTGTACAGAGTTGTGGTGTTTCCTGTCACTGTGGGCTTCACAGCACAGTAGTACACAGCAGAGTCAGACAGCTGAAGCTTCTGGATCGTCAGAGGAACTGATGTCCCATTGATTGCAGCTTTATATCTTTCTATTGAGATCCCAGGAGCATTTTCTGAAAATCCTCCAGAGCCTTTCCACATGTACTTTGGGAAATCACCCATTTCTTGTCGATACCAGAACAAATAGGGGGTCGTTGAGGTCTCAAATTTACAATCTAGTGTGACTGTGTCTCCTTCAGAAGCAAAGACATCTTCTGTTGGCTGGATCACTCTGTCTTCTCCTTTACACTCTGAGAAAAACAGAACATGAGGAGGGAGAAATTAATTGTTGACAAAAATACTTACTATATTAAAAAAGGTTAAATGATTTTTGTAGCAAAATAATCTGACACACAAACATGTACAGAATAATTGGAATAACATGCTTTGACTCTCACCAAAGAAAAGAGCAGCCAGAATAATCCACAGCCAAAGTTCCATCTCTACAACAAGGTTTGAACCAACAGGAGACCTGATCTGATGTTCAGCCAGAAGTGTGAGAATAGTTCACTTTACAGCAGCTGTTACATATGAATGCTTGAACAGAGTGCTGTGGTGATCTGCCCCCTTGATTATGTGTCCTCTAGTGGAGATAAAAAATATTACAATTGTGTTAAAGGTACTTCCAGCATGTGTTTTTTCAGACTCTGTGGAGGCCTTGTACATATTTACAAAATCCACTAATCTTAACAAACACAAAGGAAACCTCATTAAATCATTTTACCAATATCGCTGCCAGCATATAATTAAAAACTCAGAAGACCCGGGAATGAACCCTGTGGAACACCTCAAGAGATCGCAGTCCACAAAGAGAAAAATAGAAACTTCTTTAATAAAGATCAAGACAAAAGAAATCAACACCAGAATCTGTAATGCTGGCAGTTATCTGAGTTACTTTATTTAAATGATACAAGTCAACAATGGTGAAATTAAACACCAGAGTAACACACAAATATGATGAGGTATTGTTCATGGAAATAAAATCACAATGCACCTCATTCACAACAGTTTTGTTTTTAATGAAAACAACTTAGTTTCTATCAGCATTAAAAAATAATCCAGTATCAACACATCTAATCAAAGTTTATCAGCATGTTACTTCCTCTAGTTGTGGAGTATTGTGTTGTCTTCTCTCCAGAGGTTTTTGTACAGAGTTGTGGTGTTTCCTGTCACTGTGGGCCTCACAGCACAGTAGTACACAGCAGAGTCAGTCAGTGCAGCAGAGGAGATCTGTAGATCCAGATGTTTTTTATCCTCTCTCACTGTAACAGACAGTCCAGAGACGGAATTGGAAAGTGGTCCTGTTGATGTTTGAGAGGCGATAAACTGTGGTTGTTTTCCTGGATGTTGTCGATACCAGAAGAAAATATCACCAGTTGACAGTTCAGGGTAACTGTATGACAGAGTAACAGTGCTGCCTTCTAAACTGAACTCTTCATTTTTAACTGGAGTCAGCTCTTCATAGCTGGATTCTAGAAAAGAAGATATGATACAGAATTGTATGTTATTGAAATTCAACTCTTAATGCAACACAATCCATCACACCTCAAAAATCTATTGTTTTAATTCAACTTCTTGTAAAATGTAGATACATATTATGTCCCTAAGCATCACACATTTTCCTTTACATACATACCTATGAGAGCTGAGAAGAACAAAATAACAGTAATTTGTTCCATGTTTGTAGAGGTGAGATGCTGTAACTGAATGTTCAGTATGATTCAGTTTTGTGAGTAGAGTTTGGTCTGATGTTCACAGCTGGAATCAAACAGTTCTCTGTCATCAAACACCTCTGCAGTCATTGGGAGGAGACTCATCTGTTGAACTAGTTTCATTTCTGAATTGAGAAACATCAAGCCTTCATCATGACATACCATAGAAGTTTATCAGTGTGTGACTCCCTCTAGTGGATGTTGTGGAGTATTGTGTTGTCTTCTCTCCAGAGGTTTTTGTACAGAGTTGTGGTGTTTCCTGTCACTGTGGGCTGCAGAGCACAGTAGTACACAGCAGAGTCAGTCAGCTGAAGCTTCTGGATCTTCAGGGGAACTGATGTCCCGTTTATTGTAGCTTTAAATCTGTCTCCCGAGATCCCAGGAGCATTTTCTGAAAAGCCTGCATTGCCTCTCCAAAGGTACCTTGGGATTTCACCCATTTTTTGTCTGTACCAGAACAAAGAGGGGGTCGTTGAAGTCTCAAACTGACAATCAATTGTGACTGTGTCTCCTTCAGAAGCAAAGACATCTTGTGTTGGCTGGATCACTCTGTCTTCTCCTTTACACTCTGAGAAGAGAACAGAAAGAGGAAGAGATTAATTTTTGCCAAAAATACTCACTAGGTTAAAAAAGTTACGTAGCTAGAGAATCAGACACACAAACATGTACAGAGTAATCAGAATATGTTCTTTGTCTCTCACCTAATAAAAGAGCAGCCAGAATAATCCACAGCCAAAGTCCCATCTCTACAACAAGGTTTAAACCAACAGGAGGAACTCTCTGATGTTCAACATTCAGTCTGTGATTTGTTTTCTTCTCAACAACAGTTTTTATTTCAAGAAGGGTTGAACTCATTGCTGCAGTAGTAATGCCGCCCTCTGGTGGAGATTGAAATTGCAGTTTTAACATTTAGGAAATGCTCCCAGCAGCAGGTTGTCATCATGTCAGCTTGTGTTTCTGTACAGAGTTGTAGTGTTTTCTGTTTTCTGGCATCCTGGTCCAAAGAGACGTTGTTGTCGGGAACATCCTGATGCAACCGCATTTTAGTGACGCACATCAAGCTGCACTCCCGATACTCCCTCTGACTCTGACAGTAAAGTACTAGAAAGTAAAAAAAACAAACAGGAGCAACTGCAACAGGCAGCCTGTGCACTGTCAT